GGTTACACATGGAATTGATTTTTAATTCCCTGTCGATTTCTATTTCTTATATTGATTTTTTATATACGTGATAATTTCTTTAATTTTCTTGTTAGTTTGAATAAACTCAAAGTAAATAATTCTGCATCATTTTTTGAGAAATTTTCTAAAAATTTTTCCATCATAGAGAAAATAAAAGTTTTATTCAATCCCAAAGCAAAGAAATGTCTTATTTGATTTGATTAAATAGGTGCAAACCCACAGAGTTGTAAGAGGTTTGGCCTAGCAGAATTGTTCTCAAGAAAATTTCAGTGGTAAACAATGAGAAGCAAGAAGAAAGAACGAGAACCAATATATTTTTTTTTTCTCAAAAGAACCATACACTATTGCTAAATTTAAGTCTTAGCCCCCATATATTTAGGTTAGATCATACACAACCTTAGAAGGGCAAACTACTAGGTATATAATATAAATTATCATAATTAAATTAGATTAATATTCATTAATCACGTATGAGAAGATATGTTTAGTTTAATCCAGAATAAAACTTAAAGAGAATGCTTTTTTATGTTTATAAATAATATATGTATTTGAATATATATATATATATATATCAAGGGTTGAATTTGCTAAAGAGAAAGTATGGAGGAGATGATGATGGTTACAAGGACAAGCACCAAACACTAAGTGGAGGGTAGGAAAAACAGCACAACCAAATTTCAAGATTAAAAAAAATAAAAGTATTAATTAATTAGTTAAGAGCCTCTCATCTCCTCGACTTTCCTCACCCAGTGTCAAAAGTTTATTCCATTCTCTCTTTCAAAAAATTAATTCATCTTTCCATCCAAAGCATCCTCAAAAAAGAAACTCCCTAAACACAAATATTATAACTCATGGACTTATCAACTCATTGCTTAATGCTTGACCTATTCTTTTTTTTAAAAAAATAAAATAAAATTATATATGTGTGCTTATTAAAAGTTATTGCACTTATTTTTATCTTATCTTAACTATGTATGTATTTATATAAAAATTAGACCCATGCATAACAGTATGACAAGTGATCTCTTATTATAATGACAGGTGGTAAAACATTCAAATGTTGATACCTTCGTTCTACCCCTTAATTATTTTGCCATTTAATTTTATATACATAAACTTCCAAAATTATTTTCTATACTTCATACGGAAATTATATATCCTTTGTGATATTAGTATTTTCACTATAAATTTGTATTATATTAAAACTACTATAAGAAAAATAAATTATAGTAACAATTAAAGTATTTTTTTCTTAATATAATTCTTCGGTCTCTTAATTTCACATATTTTATACAAATGGCTACATAAACTATCAGAAATTAGATATTTATAAATAAAAATCATATGTAAGTAAAAAAATCAATTAAGGTGTTAAGTTGGATCTATACAAACATAAGAATCATTGGTAAAAAAGTATTCTATCATTGGTATAGGCCTTTTTCATACTTGTTGCCCACTCACAAAATTTGATACTATATTTATATTATTAGTTAATTAAAAATATAATTATTTCAAATATTTATAGTGACTATACATAGAAAATGATAAATTATAACAAAAATACATATATCTAATGGAATTTATATTCATTCACAATATTATTAAATTCAAATTCATACTTTTAAATATCAAATACATAGTTTTCAATAACTTAGCATCATTATATTTATACAAAACTTTTCATAAAATATACAACTTGAACTCTATAAACAGTAATCTTCATAATACTTTATGTTAAAATTTTTTTAATGATGAAGAAAACTTAAATTTTTATTGACTTTACTTCTCTCAAAATTAAATAGGGTTACATCAAATTTAAATTTTTAAAAAATAATTTATTACTATCTAAAAGATAAATATAAATCAAATTTTCTAAAAGATAAACTTCTACTAATAATATGATTTTTTTAAAATAAATATGTTTTAAATCTAATGAAAGATAAATATTATTTGAATTCAAACTAATAAATAACATAATTTATAATTTCTACATTTATTTTCAATACTTTCCCTTAATATAAAAATTATAAGTATCAAATTTATTTTGTTGGAGCACTTCTCTTTAATATTTCTTGTTTGATCTTCATATTCTGAAATACTTCTCTTCAATTATTGATGTATTTTTTATCAATTTTTAATTATTTGATACACTTCTCATCAAAATTTATTTATTACTTCTCTTCAATTTTCAAAAAAGATTCTTCTTCCCTAAGCAAAATTTATTTGTTCGTTCTTCAAACTTTGCGCCAACAATCTTTTTCATCATGATTGTTTTTCTTGCATACTCCACATGTTAGAAATTTTTTCTTTTTTATATTAATAAAGACTTATTTGATATCTTTGCAATGAAAACTCCCTCTGTGATTTTTTTTTGCTTCTTTTCCTCATTGTTCTTATCTCTATATTATTTTTTTTTACATACTCATAAGTAATAAAGCTTTAATACCACTTATTAAAATTTTTCAAAGATATCATTAAAAAATACCTAAATTTCTATTGATTTTACTTCTTTCAAAATTAATAAATTAAAGTGCATTTCAATAGGCTTACATCAAATTTAAATTTTAAAAAAATAATATATCAGTATTTAAGAGACAAATATGAATCAAATCTCCTAAAAAAATAAATTTTCACTAATAACATGATTTTTCTAAAATAAATATGTTCTAAATCTAATTAAAAAAAAATTCTATTTAAATTCAAACTAATAAATAAAATAAATTATAATTTTTACATTTATCTTCAACACTTTAAAAACCTAAACATATCAAAACATATAAAAATTAGTATTGTTAAAAATAAAATACCAAATTGACAATGTTTTATAGATAAAAATATTCAAAGAATAAGATATACCTATTTAATACCAAAAAGTCATAATATTTTTAAAAATCGTTTGTACACCCGAAGAGCGCAGAAGAATTATATGTCTCTCCTTCAAACGAGTTGTCATTTTGATTAATTCACATATATAATACATAAATGAAAATCACTGCTAACTCTCAGATTAATTATGCCAAACGTTAATTTTAAAAATAAAATAACAAATAAAAAATAAATAAATAAAACTTGTATTAAAAATGAGCTGCAAAGGACAAATTTCAGTGAGTTCAACATAAAGATTAATCAAGTGGTCGATTGTTGAGCCTATGAGGATCTGTGTGGATTGTGTATGTATACGTGTATGTATAGATTCTTTTTAGGGTTTAGGAAATAATTGTGTATATATGAGGCTTCTTTTCTTCATCTATATAAACCTTTTTTTTTTTTTTTTTTTTTTCTCATTCTAAAGATAGAAGATTCGACAAGAAAGAAACCCTGTTAGAGTTTTCTCATTTTTTGTTTTCCTCTTCTTCTGCGTTTCATCTTATACATCATCCACAAATCTTCCATTAATGGATTAACTTATAAATTCTTCCCAATTGTCACCATTTGAGAAATTTCACTTTTACCAATATTATGCATATACAGTCTTTTACATATTTAGAATATTATGCATACAATCTTTCCCCAATTGTCACCATTTGCTACAAACTTGTTTGGGGTCCAACAACCTCATTCGTAACAACAATGCTACCATTTCTCAAGCTAAAGTTCCAAGTCTCATCAGTGAACCAAAAATATACTTGATATTTGATTGGATGATTCATTGAAATATGAGACTTAGGTGACTATGAACTTTGTGGTTGGGTTGAAA